AGTGAGTACTAAGCATAATTTTACTAAACCACAGAATGCATTTTAGTCAAAATAAGAGTTGGGCGGATTGATTTTTTTTTTTTTTATTGTTTGCAGTGCTAAATTGAACTGATGATGAATTAAATTCAATATTTTCAATTCCAAAGCCTTCATCCACTCCATATCCCCCTACGTTGGCCTAAAACTTTGTGCCTTTTAAACATTTTGTAAATGGGTAAGACTCCACTTTTCTAGGAAAATGTAGGGTAATATGTCAAATAGCAGAAGAAGCCTCCTATGGGCTCCCCACCTTAGGAAATATATCTCTGACCATCTCAGACCATGCTTACAACAGAGCTGGGGAGTGGTGATCTTATCCAAAGTATAGAGAGCTTCAAATAATCATTGTTTCATTGAGCGGTTACTAGGAAGTGAGAGACAGGGAAACAGCTCATGGACTAAGGCTGTTCCCTATCTCTCTAATAAATGTAACATCTTATTTGAACTGACCCCCTTAGGAACTTAGTCCACTCCTGGCTATGTTTGTAATTGGTGCAGTGCTTTAAAACCTCGAATACTGCTTTCAGTTTCTGGGGGGCCATATCATTTTGTATCATGGAGCATAGGAAACCTTTGAACCCAGGGAGGAAGAGCGAATCAGTTGAGCTAACACCATTCCCAAGATTTAGGATTAAGCATGTGTGGAATTTGGGCTCTTTCACTGGTCATTGTCAGCAGTTATTTTGCCCTTCCTGTGTTACCTGACTTGTCTGAGGCTAAATGTGAATCAGTTCATCATAGTATTTCTTTCCACCGAGCCAGCCCGCCCTCCCTCCCTCCCTCCCTTCCTCCCTCCTTCCCTTCCTGTTTTTCTTTCAACAGAAATAGCTTTATATAGGAACAGCCATTAGTGTGGCATACATCACATAAGATTGGTTCTTTTTCTTAGGTCATCAAAGCATTGCAGAGGGTTGATAATATGGTCGGCATGCTGATGGATGGTCTAAAAGAGCTGAATTTGCATCGGTGCCTGAACCTCATCCTCATTTCAGATCATGGTATTTCAATTTTCATCATTTACCCTTCAAGTTAAATGTTGCCCCCCCCCCCCACAATTTACTTGATGGATCATTGTTTCATTATTTTATCTTATTGTTATAGTTAATTCTTTTTTAAAAAACATAGTTTCATGTGGAAAGTCTTTAGGAAAACATAATATTAAATATAAAGTACAAATGAAACACAGAATTCACAGAAGTCTAAGAGCCTATCAATAAAAATACATCCATGTTCTGATTTGGGGAAAACCTACACCAGGAATTTGAATAGTTAAGAAAATTATGTCATATTAAATTTTGGTAAATCTATTCTAACAATTTAGATTTAATTTGAACAGATTATTATGTACCTTTTCAATTTGTTTTAGCATGATAAGTCCGACTTTAAAAAAATTTATCTTTATTGTTGAAATTATTACAGATGTGTTCCCCTCTCCCCCGTTGACCCCTTTCACCCAGAAAAAAGTCTGACTTTGGAGGCAGTAAATATTAATTTTGGCACTATTTTAATTTCACTTTTACTTACTGTGATCTTTATAATACATGTTTTTATATAGCCTTGGGACTATAGAAGTGGTGTGGATACAAGAAAATAGAATACAAGTTCTTTTTTATTATTCTTTTCTTGTTGTTATTGTTGTTTGCTTCAGAAATTATTACTGAAAATTATTTCTAGAAACAGTCCTAAAAAGTCATATCCTAAGGAAACTCTAGGCCTGGAATGAGAATAAGAATTTTATACTCCCAGTTCATATTCTGGGTGATTTGGGGAAAATAATGAGGCTTTTATATTTATTCTAAAAATGTGATATTCCTCCTCACTCTCATAAAGACATAAAGATATTATTTATATATATAAAAGCCTAAGTGACCATCTGACCGTTCAATTGGTAGCTATGATGCGCACTGACCCCCCAGGGGGCAGATGTTCAATGCAGGAGCTGCCAAGCTGCGGTGACTTGGCAGCTGCGGTTCTCAGGTAACACACCCAGAACCAGAGAGGAGGGAGCCCGATTCTGGGTGCGTCACCAGAACCACCCTTTCACAATCCAGGACCCCTCGGGGAATGTTGGAGAGCTGGTTTCGGCCCAATCCCCTCAGGCCAGGCCTGGGGACCCGTGCACTGGGCCTCTAGTGGTACATAAATAAGAAGAAACATTAAACTAATTTTGGATAAAGGAAAGGGAAAAGATTTTTTTAAAAAGTAAAGTGGTAGATATAGCTAGGATTCTGTGTCTTACCTATTAGATATTTAACATGAATACTGAGCACGTGTTTATTGAATTAAATTCAAGAAGTGAAAGACATTTTGTTCTACATGTTAAATTTTTCATTCAAGTTGCAACATGTTTTGGATTTTTTTTCTTTTTTTACCTAGGCATGGAACAAGGCAGTTGTAAGAAATATGTATATCTGAATAAATATCTGGGGGATGTTAAAAATATTAAAGTTGTATATGGACCTGCAGCTCGACTGAGACCCTCTGATGTCCCAGATAAATACTATTCATGTAAGTATAGCTTTATGCTGACCTTGAATATGATGATATCTAGACTATATTCCTCTAAATCATGATATGTCTAAACTAAAGAGTATCAGTCCTAGCTAGTTTGGCTTAGTGGATAGAGTGTTGGCCTGCAGACCAAAGGGTCCTGGGTTCTATTCTGGTCAAGGGCATGTACCTTGGTTGCAGGCTCCTTCCGAACCCAGACCCTGGTCAGGGATTATGCAGGAGGCAACCAAACAATGTGTTTCTCTCACATCAATGTTTCTCTCTGTCTTTCCCTCTTTCTTTCACTCTCTCTAAAAATCAATGGAAAAATATCCTAGGGTAAGAATTAACAACAAATAAAAAGAGAATCAATTGAAGTTAAATTCCTTTTCATGATTAAAAAATCTCCAGAGCAAATCTTCCCCTCAGGGGGCTGGATGTGAGGTTAGGTCTAACCACCATAGTATTCATGAGCTTCGTACAATTTTATGTTATATTGTGTGTTTTGTTTATATTAGGCTCAAGATTACTTGTACAAAAAAACTTAAGAGAAAAGTTTAGCTACATTTATTCAACTTTAATTAATGACATTCCTTTAAAATAAATTACTCAGGTTATAGAATAATATTCTATTATAAGGAAGAATGCTGACAGAGATGATTAACTCTATAAGCAACTGATTTCTGTCCTCTTCTTTTAAACCTATTTTAAAAAGCAATGAGTGTATTTTGTAAACAGAGAATAAATTTTACATTTTCTCTTGACCACCCAGACTACCAAGAAATATTTTTAAATGTTTATTCTTTTGCAAGTCAAGCTTATTTCATAATTGTTTGCACTTCTGTTATACTCCTCTTTTTTCTTTGTTTGACAAGTTGTAAAATATTATTGTTATACATTGGAGAATTCACAATAGTAAGGCTATCAATTTTTTCTAAAATTAGAGGACAATTTTCCTCAAGAATTTTTATGTATACCCCTCTTTTTGATTACCGTCTTGGTAACTTTCAGATACTTAGGGCCATTTTGTTTATCTTTTTGTTAGAATTAACTTCTAAAATGGAGGGGGAAGAAAGCTCTTCTGACAGTTATCAAAATTGGAACCACATATACAATTATGGGATAAACATCAAATAGCCACACACAAAAAATGAGTTAGGTTTGGGCCCTGAGTGCTATATGTGCTAATAGGTACTATTGAATATTTATGATGAAAAAATAGATTTTGCTCCAGGATAATGATTATGTAAACATATTAACATAGTGACCCAAAGCATAGACTCTATATGCATAACAAATTTTAATTAGTATTTTTTATTTATTGATTTGGGGTGGGGGGGAGGGAGAGATAGAGAGAGAGGGAGAAACATGAAGTTGTTGTTTCACTTATTTATGCATTCATTGGTTGATTCTTGTATGTGCACTGACCAGGGATCAAACCATAACCTTGGTGTATCAGGATGACACTCTAACCAACTAAGCTACCTGGCCAGGGCCCCTAATTAGTATTTTTTAAATGTATAAGAGTAATATACAGTAGCTATAAAACCTCTTATAAAAACTGTAGAGGAATGGCAGTCCCAGAAATATTTAGGATGGGATGGCTAAACTTTAGCCACACTCTTAGCTCAGTTAGGCCCTCAAGTTTCCCAAATTAAAGCAAAAACGATATATATATATCATATTCTATCTGGATAATTTTGTCAAAATTATGTAAAGTCTAACTAATTAGAAAACTAGACTGGAATTAGGTAACTGTGGGCTTGCTATGCAAACACAATTCCAAAACTATTCTACTTATTCTTTTTTTCTGAGTTTCTCTCTATCCCTCTTATTTTGAAATTCTGGAATTATCAGTGACTATCAAAGTATATAAAACAAAAAATAACAGTTTCCCACCCTAAGCTCTCCTAATTTACAGCTCAGTTGCTCTCTTTAGAGATGAATACTGTTAAGTTTGGAATGTGTCTCCTCAGATATTTTCTATGGGTATATAAAACACATTTATTTTAATTTTTATTCAGTGAAATCATACTAGCTCTAGTAGATGGATGCATGGGTATTTGACTGCATGAAGGGATAAATGGATGGATTACTGGGTGGGTTGACAAATGGATAGGCAGTTGGATAGATGGTCAGGTGGAGACAATTGGATGGTTAGGTGGATGTTCTGTAACTTGCCTTTTCATTTGACTGTGTGACATAATTTCATTGGCTTGGGTGGGGATTCCTAAACATCTATCTTATTTCTGTCAATGGATAATATATAATGACTTAAATGAGCTGTTAGAAATATTGGCCTTGAATCTGATAGTCTATATGTTTGTATTATTTTTATTTCTAATTGTAGCATACTATCAATAATTAATTTTTTATCTTTGTCCCCCTTCAGTTAATTATGAAGGCATTGTCAGAAATCTTTCTGTGAGTATCTTTATTGTTCTATTATCTAATTACTGTTAGTTTTGTATAACATATATTTATAAAACGTTCAGTATTTGTTGTTGTGATTATAGAATTAGAATTTTTGAGTAACTGGGCCAACATTTAAATGTATTGTAGATTTTAAAGATCTTTAAGGACATGTCCCAATAATTTAGGTTTGAAAGTTTTAAGAATTTGTTTATTGACATTGTTAAATGTATGTGATAGTACAAGAAAAGCATAATTGAAAACAGTAGAAGAAGAAAAACCTACAGCTGTGCCACCATAAACACTGTTAGCACCACAATGTATTTCTACCAGTCTTTTTAAATGCCTATTTTTTAAGTAAGTTATTGTCCTGGTGCTGAATTATCTGGACTATTTTATTTTACTTGATAGAAAATGTTCACTTTAAAAAAAATTCCTTTAAAAATATTTTTATTGATTTCAGAGAGGAAGGGAGAGGGAGAGAAAGATAGAAGAAACATCAATGATGAGAGAATCATTGATTGGCTGCCTCTTGCAAGTCCCCCACTGGGGATCCAGCCGGAAACCTGGGCATGTGTCCTTGACTGGAATTGAACCCAGGACCCTTCAGTTTGCAGGCTGACACTCTATCCACTGAGCCAAACTGGTGGATAAAATTTTCTCTTTTGGATAAAACTCTTACAATTGTAGTTATACGAGTGTTTGAAAATAAGATCATCAGTAGTAACTCAAATATAATCTTGTGACACAGTCTACGTATCCTGGAACATCAATGCAGTGATTATGGTTTCATATAAAAATAAGAATATTTAATAGCTGGGAATATTTAACTTGTACAGTATACAAATAGTATGAACTCATTTATTTTTCCACATATGATTTACTGGGCATGCTGGTAAAATATTTGTGAGGAAAATTCATATGGAGTTAGAAAGCACTTTCAAAAAAAGTTTACACTTCAGAAAATCTGCAAATAATGTTTTTTCTTTGCCTTCTATGATTTTAGTGCCGGGAGCCAAACCAGCACTTCAAACCTTACCTAAAACAGTTCTTACCCAAGCGGTTGCATTTTGCCAAAAGTGACAGGATTGAGCCCTTGACGTTCTATTTGGACCCTCAGTGGCAACTTGCTTTGTAAGTTTGATAACCTCCCAGGTAAACTTAGCCTACTAGTAATTCAATAGGAAAAATGCACAAATATGATTCTCTAGACTCTATTCTAGGGTTTCTCAACCTTGGCCTCTTGACATTTTAGATAAGATAATATTGTGGGGTGTTTGCAAGCATTCCCAGCTTCTGCTCACCAGATGAAAAAGTTGTAACCATCCAGGTTGTCACCACACAGGCCAAAAGTCCCCGAGCAAGGGAGGATCACCTACAGCTAAGAAGCACTGCTCTGTCCACTTACTCCACAGTGATCATTTCTTGTGCTCCAGATTTGTGTTGCCACTTGCCATTGTATCTCTTCTGCACATTACAGTTATGCCTAATAATGTCTTCAAATCCAGCAGATAATTGGCAAAAGCTCTTTACCTTATAATGACCAATTGGCTTCATCGTTATACACAGTTATTTTTTCATTCTTGTTATACTGATCTATCAATAAACCTGTTTATTGGTGTGTTCAGCAAATTATTTGCATCATTAATATGGTTAACATCGCAAAATTTGATCATTAACTCTCTTGATGGTTGCCAGAAAGCTAGGGTTGAGGAATATAGGTAACAGAATTGCACTGTCTCAACTTTATGAGAGACCTGCGCTTGTAGCATTTGGAAATATGAAAGACCAGATGGTTCTTACCCTCGTGGGAGAATTAATATTTAGTGCACATCTATTATGCATCAGACATTTCTTTAGGTTAAACCATTTAATTGTTACAAACAATCTAACATGACAAAATTGAAATCAAGAGAAGATAAGTAAATTTCCAAAGTCACAGCTAATTATTATCACAATCAAGATTCAAAACCAGTTCTGTCTCAATGATAGTAGGTTTTTTCCCTCTATACCATATAGCTTATAGTTGATTTGTCCACAAAATAAAAGAAAAAGGTGGCTTTTAGTGCTTTTTAAAGCCAAGTGATTTTACCTTTTCTTGGTTTGTTTTAAAAAATAATTACTTATTCTTTCTTAATGAAAATAATGTCATGGTTATAAATTTTGCATTGTGAGTTGACTTTACATTATTAATTCATATTATGTAAAAATTAGGAATCCTTCAGAAAGGAAATATTGTGGAGGTGGATTTCATGGCTCTGACAACCTATTTTCAAATATGCAAGTGAGTATACCTATTATATTTTTTAAAAATAATAGTTATAGCTGAAGAAAAGCTTGTATATAAAGTTTTAGACTTAAAAACACTGACATTATATGTCTTGAATGAGAATATTGAAAAATATACTTTCATATAGCTATTTTTCTTTGGTATGAATTAAAGTAATAGATTTTTGTTAAAATTTATATTCATATTTCATGAACATGTGACATATACCTCCTACTAAATTTCCAATAATTATCATATATATATTATGCTCCACTAACAATATTGCTCCACAGTAAATGAAAGACAATTTGTTAATATTTGAGAAGACATCATACTTATATTCTAAGTGAAAATAATACCTTAAATTTACTTTGCACTTAAAATTTTTAAAAATATACTCACAATAATTATCTAATTTGATCCCTGCAACACTGTGTGAGATGGGCAGGGTGAGGTGTATATCCCATTTCATAGATAAGATTAGATTTCATTGTACTATTGTTCTGAATGTCAAGTCACGAATTACGGTGAAGTTAAGAAAATTATTCTAGATGTCCTTAGATTATCTGTGCAATAGGGGTTAAAAAAATTCCCACCAAGTTCATTGGGCATAGTATTTTTCCTCTTAACATAATCAGTTTATAAATATACAATGTAAATAATATAAATTCACTTTAAAAAAATTATAATTAATATTTTTCATTTACAGTTAACATTCAATATTACAATTAGTTTCAGGCGTCACAGCATAGCTGTTACACATTTATGTAACTTACTAAGTGATTCCCCAATAAGTCTAGTACCCAACTGGCACCATACATAGTTATTATAATATTATTGACTATGCTCCCTATACTGTACTTTACATTTGACCAACTATATTCATAACTGGAATTCATAAACTGCTACTTTCCTGGTCAATCTAGGCCCTCTTTATTGGCTATGGACCTGGACTCAAGCACGGTCTTGAAGTTGAATCCTTTGAAAATATTGAAGTCTATAACTTAATGTGTGGTAAGTGAACAGGCAGCTTTCATCCCTTCTGAAAACAGCTGAGATAGGACGATCAAAAATAAGTTACTCGATGGGCACCTTTGTGAAGATGATGATGAGGCAAGATAGACCCTCACATTTCTACCTTTTTCCTTCCTGACCCCAACTCATTGAAAAAATGTGCCCAACATACTATCTGATTACTTATCTGATTCTTCCACTAAGCTGCACGTTGGTAAAGTACAATACCCAGAGTAGGGAGGTCTGTACATCCTCAGTGCTTGGTACTTTGCCGGGGCTCAATTATATGACCATTGAATCAGATCAGTGTGTGAACTGCGTCCAGCATGGCCAGTGGTGAACTTGAGGAGGCACGGTGAAGGATTAAAGAGAACAGGCAAGAGAATACAGTTGGGGCTAGGTGAATCACTGTGCCTGGATGAAGAAACAGTGGCCCTGCCTGTAAGCAGGATCTTTATTTTATGGTCAGATCACACAAAGCAAAACAAGGGCAACATGCTTACAATGTTCTTGTGAGTTTCAAATCTGCTTCTTTCCTGTTGTTGCCATTCTCTGAACTCTATCAAGCTTTGTTTTGGCAGCACTTGCTGCACCTTCCGCAGCCCACATCCCTCAGCTACCTAGGACTACAAGGTCAGACTATAAGGTCAAGCTTACAACCATTGCCTTTGGCTATAATTGTGCTGGGAGGGCTTTTCCCTCCAAGCTGGCCCCAACCAGGACTGGGCTGGGGATCAAACCTGTAACAGAGGCACACTCCCTTGACCAGGAATCAAACCATAACCCTTTGGTCTTCGGACTGACACTCTAAATACTGAGCAAAACCAGCCAGGGAATTCTGTGCCCAAAATAGTACTTTGTGGGTGGAATATTACATCTTAAATATTAATTTCTTTTTCTGATAATGATACTGGGCATTTACAAAACCTTAAATATGTCCTAAGTATAATTCTTTCAATGGGAGCTGATTTACATAAATGAATTACTAGATCTTAAAGTACTTAAAACAGTGCCTGGCATATAGTAAGTGCTTTATTATGTAAGTGTGTGCTATTACTATTATTAAGAGCATGAATCTTAGACTTGGACAAAGCTAGCTTTGAATCCTAGGTCTGTTATCTTAGTAGCTTTGAGACATTGAGCCAAAGGCTCTGATTACTCATCTGTCAAATATAGACAATAACTTATTAAATTGTTTGGAAGATTAAGTAAGAAAAATATCTTAGTATGGTGATTGGCATATAATAAGCATTCAACATATGCTAATTATAGTTATTACAAACATTAAAGTTCATAAAAATTCATAAAGAAGTACAGCATATACCTCAGTATTTCCATAAAGACTAGCATAGTTAAAAATACTCTAAATCCCAAGAGAATTTTAGAGTTCTATTTTAGGTAAAGAATTAAGGATTCATATAAATATGGTTTTAAATAATATAAATCATAGTACAAGTCTATTTATTTGATTTTGAAACTTTTAAGTAATCTTTACCGTTCTTGGAATTATGCAGACTTACTGAATTTGACACCTGCTCCTAATAATGGAACTCATGGAAGTCTTAACCACCTTCTAAAGAATCCTGTTTACACCCCAAAGCATCCCAAAGAAGTCGGCCCCCCAGCGCAGTGCCCCTTCACAAGGACCCCCAGCGACAACCTTGGCTGCTCGTGTGACCCCTCAGTAAGTGTTGCTGAGAAGTTGCGCCCAGTGTGTATGTTTTCATAGCACTTTCTGCATAGCATGTGCTGTGGAAAGACTTAATGATCAAATTAACATTTATGAGTGAGAGTAAAAATAATATTTATTTCTAATTCTAGTGACACATGCAGACTTTTTATTATTTATTTTTCCTCTACCTTATTTTTGCCTCTATTTTTATCCCTGGGTGTTGTGACTTGACTTGCAGTTTGGGGGAAGTTTAGCTGAGTCCTATTATCCCAGCAGTGAGGTCTTGATTATAAACCAGTCACCATATTCATTTTCCAAAGTACATCCCCACCTTATTTTAAATTTAGGGGGAAATTATCTTTTTGGAGTACAAAATGGATATATGACACTGTTCCAGTTTTCTCCAACTTTAATATATAGTTGTCATAAAAGGATGAAAATATGTGACAGGTTATGAGCAAAATTGATGAGATCCCTAAAGATGGAAATTTGGGGAGTAGTTGAATTTGTTCTTTCTATTTTGTTTTAGGCTTTTAGAAAGACTGAGGAGTAGGGCTAAGAATTTTAAAGTAGCAATTATATTCTCATCTTTCAATTAATAGTGTGCTTGTGCTAACAAGTTTGTCTTTTCAACTGTCATCCTTATCCCTTTATCCTCAACATAAAAAAATAATAATTTTGACTTGTACAAGATGGTTTTAAATTGTATCTTTGTTCTACAATAGAATAATTAATCTATAGATGTTGTTTGTTACAAAATTGAAACATGTATTTCATTCCTTAAAAATAGTATTATTAACTCTATAGATATTTCCAGTCATGGATTTTCAGACACAGTTGAATCTGACCATGGCAGAAGGTAAGGCATGTTTACTCTTCAACTTGGAATAGGGAAGCAGGCTTTTTCTCAATAGTGTGAATCACAGAGAACTTGTTTGGTGGCAATTTTTAGAACAGCTAATAAAATAAAGGGAGTAGTGGAGGACTACCTGATATAAAACATAGAGATTTCTTTGCTTGACAGTCTAGATGGTTAATCATAAGGAAAGAAGGGATATTTAGAGTGGAAACAGTACGCAATATGTTTAGTGGAAACTGAATCACTCTTTATGAACATAGTAGAGATCTTTTGAGATTTTGAAGATTTTTTAGGTTTATAATAAATCTTCCAATTTCCACTTAAAATACATGTTAAATGTCTATCTCACTGGGTTCTTAGTTAATTACAAGAGAGTATAAATTGAATCACTTATCTAAAGTTATTTCTTCATCACCTGTGAATGAAAATTAAGACTCTACAGACATCTGATGAAATTTGTTAGTCTGACTTGGATGTTCAGTGACACTTCAATATAGTGTCTGATACACTTGACAGATTCTCTAATAGATTAAATTACTTGTCTCACATTATTTTCCTGCTGGAATAAAAGGTGAATTCTGCACTGTTCTTTACTTGATCTTATCTGTATAAAATTCTATACATGTTCAGTTACAGAAACCTTTGGTGATCTCAAGGTGTTAAAGTGTTGTGATAAAGAATGACACTTTGAAATTTGGGTAGAACTGGGTTTGAATATGAGCTTACAAACTATGTCCATGGAAACAAGTATTTACTTCCTACCAGCTGCTGTTTCCTCACCTGTAAAATGGTTATATAATCTTAATTTATAGGGCTATTTAATAATTAAATTAGATGATGTCTACAAAGAACTCTACAAAGCACATGACACGGGGAAAGGGCAAGAAAACAGTCTATACTATTATTAAAATTCATTCAGCTTAGTCTCATAATTTCAGGTCTGCACTTTTGCTTTCCAAGTACACGCATTTTCTTTCTGGAGTACATCCTGAACAAGAAGTAATTGCAATAACGTTAAAGAATTTTAGCAATGGACTTTCGAAATTGCTGAAATTTCTAGCAGTTTCATGTTTATTGTGATAGCTTCATATTACATTGCTCTTTGGAATCTTCATGGACAAAAACTGCACTACTGAATCGCTTTTGTTTCCTTAATTGTTTATGGCGCTGCTCTTTGAATTTTTTGTTGTTGTTGTTAAAAACTATTGTTTCAGTATTTTAAGTAGGGGAAAGAATTAGATGAGTATATCAGATATTATCATGTAGTGCACTCTAAGTACATTGAAAAGGTGGTTTTGTTTTCCTCCTGCGACCCAAGAGAAGGTTATTAAGCGTGGCACTTTACCCTACGGAAGACCCAGAGCTCTCCAGAAGAGCGGCACTGTCTGTCTGCTCTACCAGCACCAGTTCGTCAGTGGTTACAGCCAAGACATCCAGATGCCCCTCTGGTCATCCTACACCGTGAACAGAAATGCAAGTATTTGCCACCCTTTTAGTTCTGTGTGGTTACTTCAAATGATCACTAAGCAAAACATTGAGAGCATTGTTTATCACTGTTAATCTTGGCTCTGTAATCACTTCTCAAATTAGGTCACTGAACTGGGAGTCAGAAAAATTAGGTCTCAGCTCTGCCAGTAACTAGCTCGTGACATTGAGACTTGGAGAATATTTCTTTTTCTGTGAAACGAGGCATGTGCAGTAAATTCTTCTCTCTGGCCTTTGGTTTAAATACTTTACGATTTTATTTTAAAATTTTATGAAATCATTTTTACAATCAGTCACAATTATTCATCTCTAAATGCATAGGTATGTGGGTACACGGATTTCCCTCAACTGCTCAACTCTTAGCAGATTCTCACTGATGGAGCAGGCTCAGTCGCCTCCCTGCATATACTATCCAACCACAGGCGGACCCCTGAACCAAACCAGGGAGAAGCTGGGGGTCCTGTTCACCCCCCAAACCAGAGGAGTCAGGCCTTGAGAGGAGAGAGGGAAAATGTCCCAGAATAAGATCACCATTCCTCCCCACTCCTGGCGGCTGTGGTGGAAAGAGAAATAATCAGAGATGTGCTTTGAAAGAGAGGACAAAGGGTGGAGATGAGATTTAGATCTTACTTGAGATGGAAGTTTTAAACTAGACTGACCAGCTTTTCAGAAACTGAAAGTATCTGGCAAGCTGTGCGATGTCCTTAAAAGATAGAGAGCTTACATGAGTTGAACTTAAAAAATAAAACTATTGTTGATATCACTGAGATAGCTAAATAAAAATATAAGGGTGTGTGTGTGTGTGTGTGTGTGTGTATAAAATTTCTGTGTTTAAAAATATATAGTGCACACACATTCAGATATTTACATAACATTTCTACCTTAAACTTGAATTAAAAAAAAATATATATATATATATCCTATCTAATAAAAGACAAACATGGTAATTAACCATACCTCCAACACGCTTCCCATTGGCTAATCAGGGTGATATGCAAATTAACACATTGTTTGCGGGTAGAT